TATTGTGTTTTTCTATTCAAAATCGGGAAGTGCGTCCGACATACGTCTATTGGAATCGAATTGAACTGCCACGATAGAAAATCCAATTACAACGCCTTGGAAACTGTATATGAGGCAGTGGCATACATCCGTTCTTACATCGATGCTACTATTATTAAGAAGCTTAAACTTCGTTCTCTTTCGGAGGCTATGACTAGTAATGGAAATCGTAGTCATCGGAATCTTAGTAGTGACAGCGATAGTAAGGAGACAGAAAGTGTGAGCAGTCCACCTATAGTGACTAGCCGACCAACTTCATCGAATGAGCCTTCTAGTGTTTTGACGTCATCGGGCCCTGTCTCGAATGTTAAGTTGATTGTTGATACACAAGGTTGTGTAACTGTAAGTGTTCCTACTTCGGTTGACTGTCAGTCAAGTGATGATGAGCAGGAAGTGTCCGATGGTAACAGCCAGTCTAATTGTCGCCTGATAACGATGCTATTGACGTGCATATGTCGTGTGTCTCTGAAACGGAACAAGAAGAACAACAATTGAGTTTATTGGTTTTCGATTGTGACACTAATGCTGTACTTTCATATAGCGAGATGAGTTATACAACCAAGGAAGAGTTTCACTCTACGGATGCTAGTGTAGCCAGAAACGACGCTACTTGTCTGACAGAACGGAATCATAATGACGATGGTAATAAACCTGGATGTCACTGATGTGACAAATGATTTGTCGACGTTGACGAATGCTGATCAAACCTCTGTACCAGGAGTTGGAGAGTTGAATATTGCTCCTATGTTATGCCACCTAGAGTCTTCGGGAGACGAGGAAACGTCAAAATCGGAGATCCCACCCTTGCATATAATCTATGGGTCAAGAACTTCTGTTGATAAGTCAGCATCTCGGGCTTCATCGTATCTGCTGTTTGGAGAAATGGGTGGTGGATTGACGACTCATCCCCATGAGGTGGAATGTAAATCTCTAAGAGGATTCGACCAGCTTTACGACGTGTTGTACATGTTCTTGTGGGTTAATTGGATAAGGCTTATACTACCGTTAGGTCATGCTACGATAGATAGGGGAATCAAAGGCCTGATGTCGAAGGTACAGGTACATAGTTAGTTTGATAGGTTATATCCATGTTGGAGGGCGGGTAGGCGTACTGATGTAAGTCCTGCTCGTTCTTCCGGTGTGGATTAGGGGATGAGAGTGAACCGTAAATTGAAGTGTTAGAAAGGGCTTGTTTTGCTTAGAGGGATTTTGTGGGCCGGTGTAGAATCTACATTGAATGTTTGTTGTTGATTGCTTGTGATGCACATACTTGGATTGTTGTTATCATTAATTTCACTGTTTTTTGCGTATATTTGTTTTACTTAACTTATGAACTTGTTTGAATTATTATTTTCTGCCATTTTGGACTCCCGTTTCTCTTCGTTGTTCGTTTGCAGTTTTTTGCTCCAAGAACCTATAAAATAGAAGGTAATTGTAATTATTATAATTATTGTTGTTAGAACGACATTGGTCGTCTATTTGTAATAACACATTTTGGTCGATTTTGTGATTTGGAATAAACTTTGGTATCGACTTTGGGGTTCCCGTTTTGGTTTAACATTTGGAATCGTGAATTGCAAATAGTTCGACAACCGTGATTCAAAGGATCAAAAAGCAAAAAACTGGACGTAACATGCTAAGTCAGCACTGTTACTGATTTTCATACGTTCGCTTCCAGTGCAGAATCACTGAGACAATAAATTAACAATGGAGAAATGACCGGAAATGAACCTACCAATCCTTCTAAGTAAACCAAAGTCATCTAGCAAAGAGTCCACCAAACAGGCTACAAAGGAAGTCGCAATTCTAACCATTGCACCAACGGAACCACACGATGTTAACTACCGAGTATTTGTTAACATTGCGGAACAGTAAGTGAATTTAAGAAACGGAAATAATAACACGGCAACTCGAACACGGTTACCAATCAGAAACAAGGGCGTTAGAAGAAACTCATCGGTTATATTCAATTTCCCAGTGTTGTAGGGGTAGCATACTGCAAAACAGAGCTATTTTTAATAAAGAACAGTTAGATAAATACTTGGCAATGCTTAGAATGAGCGTCTATCACGTCTCACGATTAATTAGGCACCATATCTGATGGCTTTCAAAATCAGTACCCAGAAAGATCTAACTAAGGCATTACATGCTCGGAAGAGCGCGGAGAATGATCTCTCTGTTAACATTAGATATTGTGAGAGCCAACCTATCTCAGTTAGACAACATCAGGGAGGCAAAAATAAGCACACACTACTTTCAGTTGAACTTGATCGACAACCCACAGCACCAGACATGAATATCACGCTATCCAGTTGATTACACGATACAGACAAATAACCTGAGGCACCTAGTTACCACAGAACTGGCCAACCCGGCCTGATCAACTTGATTAGCAATCAGATAACTTTCGTTGCACTAGAGGTGCACCAGATGATGAGAAAAGACACCATGTTCCTCAGAAACCACAGTAGAGGTCTGAGGAGTAAGCTGAAATAGATCAAGGCTATATGCTCTCAGATGGGTCTGAAGATAAAAATCCCAACTGAAATTTGGGTATCCCCACCCCCAACATTAGTGAAGTTAGCTTGCAGGGTATGGCACTGTTCCGATGCGACTGGAGGAGGTTGAGTGGCGACATGTATTGACAGCCATTTTGAAACCGTAACACTTCACGAAACTCAACTAACCTATGCGACAGAATCATGCTAGTGTTGTTTTAACATGGATGAAAAAAACCTTGATTGGAGGCATTTCCTGGCCCCTCCCTTCACGTACTAAAATCCAGAAAAATAAGTTGATTGTAGTGATATTGCCGCTGTCACTCCTGGGGTTCGTCCAAACGCACTTAGCTTTAGGTTTCAATGCTCCTTCTCGAAACCTCAGAAAACAGAATATAACCTCAACAGTTTGGCTCCCGAATTGAATCGTACAGCCATTAGAAGTTCCGAACTGGCTCAGAATAAATAAAAGGCAGCTAGATGGAGAGAAACACGTGGAGAGTTATGGGATTATGTCCTACCTTGCCGCAATCGTGTTAAATACACGGTCGTGAGAGGACATCTTCCACGCACCCCATGGTCGCGAGAATAGCGGAGGCTAACAGTGGTCAATCACTCGCAAGCCATATTACACAACGTACACAACGCTTGCTACAGGCCAAAAGGAATGCCTGGCGCAAGTGGAAGGTTCTTCTGAAAAGTTAGGATAGTAGTTTGTACATGCGGTGCCGAAGTTCGGAGTGACTAGAGACACTTCCAGATGAAGCTAACTGCCATAATAAAGGAGAATCAAAAATATCTGATTTGGTTCCTGGTTAAGAGAGAACATACGACCTAGGGTGTTTGTGCCCTCAAAGTTCCGAATGGCGAAGTTCTCACTGACCTAGAGATGGGTGAAATATTTAAAACCATCTATCGAGATCAGTTAAAACAAAGTACCTACATGTTCAGAGTACTACAAAAACCTAGTGCCAGCTGATGGCTTGAAGAATATATACGATTTATTCCTGACTTACTACTAAGAAAACTAAAATACATGCGCCCACTAAAGTCACCAGTATGTGACAATATTCGCCCTGTAATCTTGAAACACTTGTCAAAAGCACTCATTTCACCGGTTTTGACCTGTTTTTAGTCCTTCACTGGAGTCACGCTAACTCTCAGCTAAATGGGAACAAACCACTCTCTCCAATCTTCGAAAGAAGAGACTGGGAGCATCCAGCCCGTAATAGACCAGTTGCATTACTACCAGTATTGTCGAAGGTAATTGGAGGACTGGTGAATGAGCAAATGAAAGAATACATAGATAAGAACAACCTCCTCTGTGTAGGTCAACATGAGTTTAGAAACAGAGATCATGTGCATCCAGTCTTCCGATAGCATAGGACAACTAGACAACCTGCTGTACCGAAAGCTAGAGGTTCATGTTTTATTCCTCCACCACTTAAAATCTCTAAGCAGTAGCCTACATACTCCTAATCTCGAAAGTCGCGATAATAGGCTTCATGGATTCAACTCCATCTCGGATCGGAAACTAACTTGCGCTGGCGAGTTTCAATGTCAGGAGTTTCACAGAGGACCATCTTAGGTCCACTCCCTTTTGTGTTATTTATTATAATCCGTTAGACTAGATTGACTTGACGGCATTGATCTACAAAGACGGCGCAAAGACCTGGAGGCCCATTAGAAATGAAGAGGATTCACGTGAGCTACAAAAAAACCTTGCGTTTGTTGAGGAACGGGGTGTAAAAGACGTGTTAGAACTTAACCAGTCGAAATGTCACGTTATGACCATTCTGTCTAAGATAAATGAACGACTTACACCCTCAACACCCACATCTTCAGGTTCACAGTGTCGTTGCACCCTCTCTCTTTAAGAGAGACATTAGATGGAGTGCAGAGACGAGCGACTAAATGAGTGAAAGGGTGAAGAACGAAGCTTACGAAGAGATACTCTAGAACTTGTGATTATTTCCTTTGAGTCAAGTGATAATCAGAGATGATTTTAATCTACCTCGCTTATTATCTCTGTTCCCTCTTCCGTGACTACATTTCTGTCCTTTCGCACATCCATGACTACCAATTAATTAACTTATTTACCAATTTATTCACTTAGTTGTGAAATCATCTGATTGGCATCAGAATTTTATCATTATTACTATTATTGTCGAAATTGCAATTAACTGATCTCCGACCTGGTAACGTGATAGGTGCTGGTATCGATAATCCTAATGCACTGAAATCAAACGTACTCATTTAAATCACGGGACATAAATATTCATAAGTAACTGTGAATTGACAAGAATTAATGCAGTTGAGTGGATAGAATATCATCCATTGGGTAATAACAAATACCTGGAACCGTGCGGAGAGAACAATAATAGAGAGCGAAGAAAACAATTTGTTTAAACCAGCTCGTGGAAAAGATATTGGATATTGGATTGGATACTGTTAGTTTTTGTCCTTGAGGTTGTTGATGTTTTGAAATCTGTCAACAAATGAACAAATTGGACAGATGCGGATCTCGGGATTTACCAACATTTATTGGTCAAAATGGGGAAATCACACTCAATCTCTCTCGATACGGTTTGAAAAACATAGACACATTGCCAACTAATATAAATGTTTTGATCTTGGATCACAATGATATATGTCGATTGGAAAACTTATCTACTTTGTGTGATTTACAAAAGGTATTCTTTGTTTTAACTTTGACCTCTCTTTAGCTTTCGGTGGCAGACAATAAGCTACTACAATTGTATGGGCTGTCAGGTTTGGTTAACCTTACAATCCTAAATTTACCTAATAACGGCATAACTACAATGGATGGTATTCAGATTACTGTTATTATATGAGTGGTAATTATCTTAAGGTTTAAAGAAACTCTCTAACTTGCGTTGGCTCAATCTATCAGGAAACAAACTGAAGGTGATTTCAAAATATTGTAGTTTGTAATATTTTAGGTTATTGAACAGCTGGATACCAATCTACACCTAAAACACCTAGATCTGTCGGACAATTATATTTACAATCTTCAGGATTTATCTCATTTGACGAAACTAAAGGTACTTTCGATGCAATAACTGATATTATTAGACTCTCCTTTTACATTGCAACCACATCAGCACTCTACAGGATGCATCGAAAAGTTTACCAAAATCACTTGAGATATTTTCTTTAGCTAGTAATATGATCTCCAACATTCTAGAAGTAAGCTTGTGTTATAAATACTACTTCAAAGGTTCAAGAATTGTCATGTTTCCCGAAGCTTTCTCAGTTTTCTTTGGGAAATAATCCATGCATCGAATCACAGTATCCTTTTTGCTTCACTCACTGATCTTCAACCTTTTTGGTAGTTTTTCCTTAACGTTAGTCTTGTAGTGCGGATGAGTATAAATTATTTATCTTGGGTTGGCTGCCGAATTTACAGATTCTCGATGGGACTCGGATAATAAAAGAAGACATGTATGTCGGTTTTCTTGTACTTTCTGATTCATTGTTTAATTGTAAATAGTCTGTATTTAAAGGAATTATTCTGGTTCTTTTTTTCTTAAAAAATGACCGGTAACCCTAATTAATAAAGCTAATACTGATAAATCCTTTTTTGTAGAACTAGTGACTAGTTCTGGTGGCTCATTTGTTCCCACGACTATTCATTTTTCACTAGTTATCCCAAGTAACCGTAGTTCACAAGTTAAACTACGTACTACCCTAGCTATATTTTCTGTTATTGTCTTTTTACTGGTGCACAGTTTCATTGAGTGATTCATCAGGTAACCAGATGAAGAGCAGCGGATTCAGCACCATTTAGTGAAATAAAATAATATATTAAGAGAGGAATAAGTGGATTAATGCAGAAAAATTGTTTAAATTTTCTCCATATAGTGTCAGAACTTACGAACTCGATACTGGGCATTTATTGCTTAAAAATGACCAGCGAAATCGTCTATATTTTTACGAATGTTTTGTTCTAAAATTGTGATGCATCACATCGAATCCTAAACCATCTTGTGAAGTCAGATACTGTTCTCTATATACAACATTTTAAAATAGAAGTTTATATCTCTGTCTTATATTCTGATATGCTTTGATATGATGGGCAAATATTGAGTCATTTAACTCTCTCGTTATTTTCAATATCAGGTAGTTTTATTTGCGTATTTTATTCTAGTTGCTATTAATTCGGACACTATTATTAAATTTTCTCACGGAATAGAATGAAAACTTAGATTGCAGCAGTAATCTGGGTGCCTGCTTTCCGTGCATTGATTTATGAAAGCAGTTTATAATGACGTCAAATTTTTTCTAGCTTAACTGTATACCTATCAGTATTTTTGAGTAATGATTCAGAAATTATAGAGGGTTAATTGATGAATGTTAATTTGAAATTCGGTGTTATATTATTACTCTTTCTCACTTCTACCATAAACAATGACACGGATGAGTTCTATTTTTGTATCTCTGTTGCCTAAAAAAAAGTCCATTTGTTGATTTACAAGTCAATGGCCTCCAATTTAACTTGTCTAGCTATTTGACTGTAATAGTTTTAGTCATTTAGAAATATACTAAATTTGGTTTAATTAAAACGGATTGTTATCTGGCTACTATCGATCCATATGGTTAGTTGTATGTAGACGAAATCAGTCAGTCAGTTGCAACGTAGAACTTCGTACGTATGTACATAAGTTCATGTTGCCATACCACATTATTAGCACAGAGACGCAAATGTCAAATCAAATCCCATAGTGATAAAGATGGTAGAGGTATTAATGTTATAATAAAGAAGACTAGGGTTTAAGATATTATTCAAAAAATATAATTCAGTGAGATAAGGTTAGACAAAGGTGGAGGTGCTGGCTAATCCAGAACATTAGGATTTGAGAGAGCTCAAAGAGTGGATGCACCTGCGCCATTGCAAACGATTTTGAGCCATGTCGTTCAAGGTCTCTAACCATTGATGACTTTCGTCTCGCGGACCCCAACCAGGCAGTCTACATCTACCAACATGACTCAGTCCACTAGTCAGTGACTTCATGGATTTCTGCCATGTTTTGGTCTGGCCGCCCCTAGCTTTCTTCCAACCTACTCCTACACCACAAAACATAGCTCGTCGAGGCAGTCGGTGGTTAGGCATACGTAACACATGTCCCAACCACCTCAACTGATGAAGTTTCACCACTTCATCTATTGATCTGCCATTCTTACCTAGTACTCGTTTCCTAACGACAGCATTGCTTACTCGGTTGTCCCACGATATACGAGCAATGCTTCTTAAACATCTATGATCGAATACTAGTAACCTACGAACATCTTCTACTCTTAACGGCCATGTTTCACAGCCATATAAGAGAACGGAACGAACTGCTGCGCAGTACACCCGCCCTTTGGTTAGCGAACGGATATCACGCCTACGCCATAAGTGACGCAGCTTGGCAAAAGCCAATCGAGCTTTCTGTATCCGAGCTGAGATTTCGTCAGTCACCAGACCGTCAGCACTGATGAGACTCCCAAGATAAGTGAAGTGATCTACACGCTCGACTACTTCACTCCCTATCACTAGTTCAGGTGCCGATCCAACCCAGTCTTGAAGCAACATTTTGCATTTCGAGGGGGAAAACCGCATCCCGAACATGCTCGCATTGTTGCTTATGGTAGTCAGAAGACTCTGCATTTTGTCAGCGTCTTCACCGAATAGAACTATGTCATCGGCATATTCTAGATCAGTAAGCGACTTTCCTGGTAGAAGGTCAACCCCTGAAAAATCTGACGAGCTTAATGTTAACTCTAAGAGGATGTCTACGACAAAGTTGAACAAGAATGGAGAGAGTGGACAGCCCTGACGGACACCACTTGATGTAGAGAATTCAGATGACAGTTCGCCATATGCTCTCACCCGACCAGTGGTGTTCGAGTAGAGTGCTTGTATAAGGTTAATGTACTTCTTTGGTACACCTTTCAATGACAGACACTGCCACAGAACCTCACGATCCACTGAGTCGAATGCCGCCTTAAGGTCCAGGAACACGACTATTGTCGGACGTCTAAATGTGTGTCTGTGTTCCCCTGTGATTGTCACAAGAGGACTTCTGTCCTTTCTTGTAGATTGGGACAATAATAATAAAATGACAGGAAAAATGCTACTTAAGGCATAAGCGTGCGTTTAAATTAAAATTGGAAAATCTTAGTACGCATAGCATCAGCCTGTACTTTCTCTTCTTCCTATATTAAAACTTGTAAATACAGCTCATAAGTACACAGCTTACAACTTGAACTCCTTTTTGAATGTGTTTATAGATGTAACTAATACTAAATTAGCTAACAATACAGACCCATAGTGTGATCAACTGGTAAGTGTTACAGTGAGTCAATTAACTGGAGTCATATTTTGAAGGAAAAAATCACTAAACTTAGTTCGAGTTTTCTGCAGAAAATATTCATTAAACAATCTATCATTAGTGAAAAAGAGTTATTTACCATACGAAGTAATTAATGAAGAATGGGAATAAAAGTCATGAAGTTACTGACGAATTACTACTTTGTTTTCAGTGGTTCTTTGACGGTTAGTCCGTGTTATGTTTGTAGATACGTGGTTGGTGTGTGTGTGCATTAGTGATTAAAAGTTGGATACTTTGGGTATCATGGTTCGAAATCGGTCAGATACATCTATTATTCTTTGTGTTCTCTCAAATTCTGATCTTCTGGATTCTTCAACACCTCTAGTTTTGACTTTCTAAACTTTTCTCACTGAATCATATTTCTTGAATAATATCTTCTAATCCTAACCTCTCCGATTACTTCTAATACCTTTACTACTTCTACTACTATTGGATTTGAATTGACAATTACATCTCTGTGCTGATGTGGTATGGAAACATGAACTGATGTACTTACGTACGAAGTTCTACGTTGCATCTGATTGACTGACTGACTTTTTCATCTACCCATCGATTTCGGATTTCATTATTAGTTCGTAATTTTTACTCTGTGGATTCATTCTTTCATATCAAACTATATTCTATAATCCTGGTCGTTTTTTACTAGTACTGATAGTTTTAATCTTGCTCTCTTGGTTATTACCCTCTTTATTACTTCTCCCTATACTGACTAATATAACGTGGGTCAATGTAGTTTTAAGCCAGATTGTACCTTGCTTGTCACTAGTTTTTAGTGATTTTCAGTCAATAGTAGCTCGTAATAGAAATTTTGTTTTGAACTTTTTACTTTGTCAGTCGTATTTCCCTAAGAAAAAGAACTATTCAATTCTGGAATCCACCACAGTTAATCAGATTTTTGTTTGTTATAAGCTCCATACTAGATTACATTTATTTTTGGTTGACCCCAGTAATATCTTAATGGCTTTTGTTGATAAATTACCCAGATAGCTCATACGTATCGGTGTTTGTTTTTAATTTTTCAGTGAGAAAGCTAATTGCTTCATGTCCGAATTAAAGTCTCCTTTGGTTACACAATCTTCATCTGGAAATGAATCTTACAAATCCAATGAAGATATCGGTGATCACATCATTAGCAGAAATGTTAGTTTAAAAACATTTATATGTGAATGAGTTTAATATGTACAATATCCGACTATACTAGCATAATTAACACCTTATGGGTTTGTCATCTACTAACGCATATTTAAAATGTCAGTGCTGTTATACATATTCTTATTTGCTAGATGACATAAAAGTTAGGTTTCACATCTCTCTCTTTGATTACGTTGTTTAAAATGACTGAATTCGATTGGATTTGGTTCATTTAAGTGATTATTATGCGTAACTATCCCACAGAGTATATGACTGAATAGTCTTCTAGCTTATAAAACAGTTTGCATAGTTTTCGAAATTCACCAACCCTGAATATGTGCAGTTTGATGTGATTTACTTCGGATCGACTTTGGTTTGCGACTACCAATTTATCTTTTTGATATATTCAACACTTTTTATGTGGAATTTCATGCAATTAAAGAACTCAGTTCTTATATCACCTTTAGTTTGATAGGTCAATTAAGTATCTTCAGTTTTTTTCATGATGTTTGACTCAAAATGAGTATATAAAACTATGCTTGTTGTTAAATGAATTATTTTTATTTAATAGTTGATGATTTATGTGTCATTTTAAATAACTACACTATTTACTTACTTTAATTACGCCTGTTACCCCCAATGGAGCATAGGCCGCCCACCAGTTTTCACCATCCAACTCTGTCCTGGGCTTCTGTCTCCAGTTCTGTCCAATGTTTGTTCATTCCTCTCATATCTTTATCTATATCTCGGCGTAGTGTGTTCCTTGACCTTCCTGTTTTCCTTTTGCCTTGAGGGTTCCATGTGAGGGCTTGTCTTGTGACTCAGTTAGGTGCTTTTCGTAGTGTGTTTCCTATCCACTTCCACCGCTTCTTCCCGATTTCCTCCTCCACTGGAATCTGGTTTGTTCTCTCCCACAGTACGTTGATGCGCCTTCACATCTGCATCGGATCCACCTTGATTGTCGATGATGCTGCCCAGATATGTAAAGGTGTTAATGTCATCCAAGGCATCTCCATCAAGAGTGATTTGGTTGGTGCATGTTGTGTTGCATCGGAGAGTTTTGCTTTTTCTTTTATGTATGTTGAGACCTACTGTTGCAGAGGCTGCTGCTGCACTTGTCATCTTCTCTTGCATTTGTTGTTGCGCATGAGATAGAAGAGCCAAGTCATTTGTGAAGTTCAGATCGTCCAGCTGCATCCTCGCTGTCCACTGGATACCGTGCTTCCCTCCAGATGTTGACGTCTCCATAATCCAATCGATCATCAGGAGAAAGAGAAAGGTTGAGAGTAAGCAACCTTGCCTGACACCGGTCTTCACTTCAAAAGAGTCTGTTAGCTGTCCTTCGTGTACGATTTTGCAGTTGAATCCATCATAAGAATTCCGTATGATGTTAACTATTTTCTCAGGCACACCGTAGTGTCGAAGAAGCCTCCACAGTGTTTTCCTGTCCACGCTATCGAATGCTTTCTCGTAGTCGATGAAGTTGATGTAGAGTGGTGAATTCCACTCAATTGATTGTTCCACAATGCCGGCAGTAGCCCCGAAGGTTCCAATGGCGGAGTTAACTACATTATTTAGTTACATACAGTAAAACAATTCAAGAATAATAAATACTGATATTCGAGAATTATCAAGCATAAAAATGTTTATAGATAACCAGTAAAAAAAACTATCAAATCAGTGTAAGTGAATTCAACCATCAGATTCGCCAACGAATCAATGTCATTTTTTTGAACGCAGTTATCGATTACATAATGTAATTAATTGATTAATTTGAATGCCTGTTTTGGTCAAAATAATTTAAGTATTCACAAACTTGTTAAAGCAGAGACCATGTAGTTTATCTATCGCTAGTAATTATTTACTAAAGATTGAAAGTAACACAAAGTAGTTCATTTCATATTAAGTAGTATGTGTGTGGTCGTTAAGAAAAAAAAGACTATAAATACAAAATATTGAAAGACTCATTCGTAAAAATTTCTCAAATTTTTTACCTCTACCCGTAATTAAAAAACTTAGGTATTTTTAATTGAACAAAATTGATTATTCAAGTAAGCTTCTACTTTTATGAAATAGTTTACTTCATTATGAAGTTGTGTTATTTGATTATTTTATAAGCTAGCGAGCGTTTCTGTCATAACATAAGAGATGAGAATAGTATATGGAAACATTACTTACTTACTTACTTACTTACGCCTGTTATCCCCAATGGAGCATAGGCCGCCCACCAGTTTTCTCCAACCAACTCTGTCTGTCCTGGGCTTCCCTCTCCAGTTCTGTCCAATGTTTGTTCATTCCTCTCATATCTTTATCTATTTCTCGGCGTAATGTGTTCCTTGGCCTTCCTCTTTTCCTTTTGGAAACGTACTCGACTTAAATCATGCCATTCATAACATGCTCTTAAGTGACATTTATTACGGACGGAACACAGTCAGATTCGGCTGTGTTGGTTTTAGTTTGGCTATGTTATATGATGAATTAAGCATTGTTCATCTACTCAGTACGATAATTTATTGATACTCAAACACAGTACGATGGCAATTTAAGGGAAAATTTAGTGTCACAGTTGATATCAATGCTTTATTCACAAATTATTGATCCAGTGTGTAGTCAAGCTATTATGTCAAATCTAAATCTAATAAATAATGTTTAGGTGATATAGAAGGTAACCATCTTAGACTGATCTCTCATCCTATTATGGGGCTCCTGAAGACGGTGTCTTAAAGGGGTACCACCGAGTCCCACATTAGGACGTGACAGTTGTTTAGTACTGCCGAGTCTTCAATTATATCTTAACTCAAATCAATCTGTGACAAATACTATGGACAAATGAAACGTATTTCTGCAGAATTCCTTCAAATAAGACACGATCGATGTTCTATTAAAATAGCTTTCTGTTTACAACCAAAAATCTCATAAATCACGTTCATTTATTGATATTTAAGACTAACCAGTTCTAGTTAGCTTATGTACTGCATTCTGAAATAATGCCTTGATATTGTTTAAACTATACAAATGAGATAACAAAAAATTCCTCCTATAATTAAGCATAGTATAGGTTCAACCAGTTAGCAGCTGTCTGCACTCAGTAGCTTGGTGTGGGCAATACGTTGACGTATGAAACGATAGGCAATGCGTTTAGGTCTCCATGCAGACATCAACACTGGGATGCAGATGTATCAAGTTGGTAGGTTTCACTCTACTTCTAGCCATTATAAGCCAGTATAAGCAATGCTGTCGTTAGGAAACGAGTTCTAGGTAGGGACGGCAAATCAATAGATGAAGTAGTGAAACTTCATCAGTTGAGGTGGTTGGGACATGTGTTACATATGGCTAACCACCGACTGCAGCGACGAGCTATGTTTTGCAGCGTAGGAGTAGGTTGGGGGCAACCAAACTAAAACTTGGCACAAATGCATGAAGTCACTGACAAGTAGACTCAGTCTTGTTGGTAGGTGCATGTTACCTGGTTGAAGTCCGCGAGACGAAAGTCACTGACGGTTAGAGACCTTGAACGACATGTCTCAAAATCGTTTGCAATGGCGCAGGTGCATCCACTCTTTGTGTTCTCTCAAATTTTAATCGTCTGAACTCCTCATCATCTTTCTCTTTCTCTTTCTAAAGTTATATCACTGGATTATACTTCTCGAATCATATCTTTGAACCCTAATCTTCTCCATTGCTGCTAATACCTCTATTATTGCTATCACTCTTGGATTTGAACTGACAGTTGCATCTCTGTGCTGATGGAGCATGGCAACCTGAACTGATGTACTTACGTACGAAGTTATGCGTTGTATCTGTCTGTCTGTCTAGCCATTATACAAGTATGCTAGAAATCTGTAGACAGTTGCAAATCTCACTTCCTAATGATTCTCATGGGAAAGATAATATGATTATCGGAAATAAAAGACTGTCAGTCTTTTGGAAAATTTTTAGTTCATATCTCTTTTGATCCAATAGTTAACGTATACTACTTTTGTTGAATACTGTGTATTTTACTAATCACAGCTTTGATTGATTCTACAAGATATATGTATGTATATTCAATTTGTGATTTTATTTGATGGTTCTTTCTTTTACAATTTGGTTAAATTTATTTTGGTCACAACTATACGTAATACACTGTAAACTGATTCACTTCATGTTTTTTTATTGTTTTTAGAAAATTAGTTTTTTTTTCTTCTAAAACTTTTATCCTTATTGTTGACGAATTTTTTCTTATTCAAAAATTATATTATGATCTAAATAACTAACTTAGTAATTATGAATAATGTTGGTTTTGATGATATTGTCTAGTTCTCAAATCGTGTAATTAATTACTCTTGTCCAGTATTTTTTCTACTGTTGTTAACTTTGATTTAATGTGTTCTATTATTCAATATTGAATTCCTTTTTAGTCATGAATGTTTTATTTTTTAAAAGTGATTTTTTGATGAATTACTGATGGAGGTTCTAATTTTTTTTTTTTTTAACTTTAATGCGCATAATTTGTACAGCATGTTCATCCAATTCGAACAGAATCGATAACTCATCAAGTTGTCAATCATAATCTTCCAATAATTTATCATAATAAACCTATTTCATCATATAAAAGATGGTCAACTGAACTAAATCAGAATTTTGCCTTAGAAAATGTTTGTTCTGAGTCTGTTGGTAGTAAGTTTATTTGTATTGAATAATGATTGTGGCATTTTACTACTTTAATAATAATAATAATAATTCATATTTATTTTTCCCGCACCATAAATCCAATGTTATGGCGAACTTCTTTGAAAGATAAATTTATTTAACTATCAATCTAGACATATTTGGTTGTTAGATTGTTTTGTAGTGTAGGAGTAGGTTGGAAGAAAGCTAGGGGCGGTCAGACCAAAACGTGGCAGAAATCCATGAAGTCATTGACTAGTGGACTGAGCCATGTCGGTAATTGTCGACGACCTGGTTGGGGTCCGCGAGATGATAATAATCGATGGTTAGAGACCTTGAATGACATGGCTCAAAATCATTCGCAATGGCGCCGGTGCATTTATTCTTTGTGTTCTCTCAAATCCTAATCTTCTGGATTCTTCAACATCTCTAGTTTTTACTTTCTAAACGTATCTCATTGAATCATACTTCTTGAATAGTATCTTCTAATCTTAACCTCTCCGAATACTTCTAATTCCCTTACTACCTCTTCTACTATTGGATTTCAATTGACAATTACTTCTCTGTGCTGATGTGGTATGACAACATGAACTGATGTACTTATGTACAAAGTTCTACGTTGCACCTGACTGACTGACTGACTGACAATTTATTGAGTATTTGGACGGTTTAAACAATAATCTCAATTATATCGCTCCAACTGATTGACAATAAAAAACATTAAATAACATTAGTTGACTGTATGATCATATACTGTGAGAGGTATAAACTGCACTTGTTTAACAAAGCATGAAGAAACTGCACTAAAAAGATAACCTGAAAGAAGGATTCTTTGTTCAAATATTTAATTTAGGTTTTTACACATTTGAAATCATCAATCAATCATTGTTAGACCACCATTAGAAACCTGGAAGCACTACGAAGTGCAGGATTCGTGGATGCGCACTGCTGATGAGTCCCATACCAGGACGAAACGGCCGTCTAGTGCTTCCAGGTTTCTAATGATGGTATGACATTGATTAATTGATGATTTCAAATGTCTAAAGACTATAATCTCCATAACTCTAAATGAAAAATTTAGGTTTTGTAAATGTTCAGTACCACACATATTCTTGTTAAGATCTATTGAATTTGAAGATATTTTACATCACGAAATGATATCAGCCAACCATTGATGTCCATTCGTCGTAAATTTTGAGAATTTGTTAATAGTGCACACTTATGACTTACAAGTCTCAAAGTGACCATGCGATGATCCACATACTTTAATTTTCAACCTAAATATGGTTTTTTCTTAAGACGCGGTCATTTTATAATGATTTCATTATATAAAAAGCTTCTATTTGACTTCAGTTAATAATAACAGTCATTACTGCTTTAAACTCCTAATTTGGTAGTGTAAAGCAAATTTTAGCTGAAGCAATATGGTATGAAAGTAAGTAGCATTTGGAATAGTAAAGATTTTGTCTCTCTATTGATCGATGTATCTTTTCAAAAATTGTATTATAAGTTGTACGACTATTCACCAAGTCATGTGTATCCAAAAAATTATGAATATTTTTAAAAATGTTGATAGTAGTAATGTTGGGGATGTTAGATCCTCAAAATTCGCTTGATAATGCCTTATTTTGGTTTTCACGTTTGCCAGCATGGGCTGATCAGTTGACCTTGAGATTTCAATTCCCAACAGGAAAATCCATGGCTGTGGTTGGCTGCTGTGTATTTCAGTATGCTATTTTCTTAACTGTTTCAAGGACGTTCCTATGATGTATAAATAAATGAGAGTTGTATGCTTGATTGTACTGTGATTGCTGGGTGTTTGTAGAATATACTTTCTACGCTTACAAAGCCTTTTCACTTCAGCCTCGGATTCAAGGTAGCCTACCTGGAAGCTGGTAAAAGTCTCGTTCGCGTTTATCGACTAAGGTAAACTCGTAATAGCCTCAAGCATACTAAGTGACGAACTTATCAAGTAATCAATTGTACGGCTGATGAGTGAGTTAAATGGTAAAAATAGTCATCATCATGAGGACATTCTAGAATCATTCATAATTAATAAAAATTACGCCTAACAGTTGGGCGGGCGTTTTAATTCGTTAAAGAGTGTTTGACTGACATACAAAATTGACTAAATTCAGTCACTATTAAAACGTAATCATATAAATTTATTTTTTCTGATTATTTTGTACATGAACAGGCAAACTGTTGTAAATTATGAAAAGTCTATTCTCCTCCTAGTTAATGATTTAGTCTCAGATATCAGTTAATAATCCAATGTTTTGATTAGACACAGCTATATAGCCTATCATCATTCCTTTTTCATACATCAGCTAACACTCCATTCATTTTAATTATCGAAAAACTCATCCACCATTTGTCACACTAATTCAAACTCATCACAACATTATGCACAGACAAAATAAATAAAATGAGCCAATCAGAGTTTAAAATAAGGCCTCATGCATTATTATGCATCAAATTTAAAGTGCAACGAGAAATACTATTATTAGCATGGTAAGAAACGGACAATATATAAGACTACTTAAAATGTTTGAGATCAATAGAAGAAATTTCTATTCGGCAAACCCAAAAGTGAATTTAAGATGGTGAATAAACAAAATTACCAAACATATAACTGTTCTCAAGGCAAGTTGTGTATTACAGTACTTGTGTGGTGTGAACTACTTATAAGTAGTATATGACGTGAGTGTCAACGTAATGTCTGGCAGCGGAAGATGGGGAGAGATGCTGCACCACGCACCTCGTTCACTACACTTGTTGTGATTCAGTTCTTTGTCAAGAATGTTTATTGAAACCATACACCATCCTCCATTTTTAACTTTTATTACTCTGAATTCCAACTATAAATCACTTAGGCTTGTAAGCAGTCGAATGATATGTGACATTGAATCATAGCTGATATCAGTTTTTTGATGAAAATCCTAACCTTAATTGGCAAAATCAAACTCAGAATCCCAGCTTAACTTCTGATGATACTTTACTCAAACATTTTAGTGTTAGACCTGATCACAGTTGTTGACGAAAACATTATATGAGGTGATAATCCTAACTCATAACACTAGTCCAAACTCGAGAAAACCAGGCTGCTTTTCGACCTGGACGTGGTTGTATAGAGCACATTTTTACACTACGACAGGTCCTCGAACACAGACACACATTTAGGCGTCCTACAATAGTTGTTTTCCTGGACCTAAGAGCGGCATTTGACTCAGTGGATCGTGAGGTTCTGTGGCAGTGTCTGTCATTGAAAGGTGTACCAAAGAAGTACATTAACCTCATACAACTTCTCTACTCGAACACCACTGGTCGAGTGAGAGCATATGGCGAACTGTCACCGGAATTCTTCACTTCAAGTGGTGTGCGTCAGGGATGTCCACTTTCTCCATTCTTGTTTAATTTTATCATAGACATGCTCCCAGAAATAACCTTATCCTCGTCTGAATTTTCAGGAGTAGACCTTCTACCTACTGGCTCGTTTATTGACTTAGAATATGCCAATGACATAGTCCTACGTGGTGAAGACGCTGACAAAATGCAGTCTTCTGACCACCCTAAGAAACAATGCAAGCATGTTCGGGATGCGGTTTTCCCCCTCGAAATGCAAAATGTTGCTTCAAGACTGAGTTTCATCGGTACCTGAACTAGTGATAGGGAGTGAAGTAGTCGAGCGTGTAGATCACTTCACTTATCTGGGGAGTCTCATCAGTGCTGATGGCCTGGTGACTAACGAAATCTCAGCTCGGATACAGAAGGCTCGATTGGCTTTTGCCAACCTGCGTCACTTATGGCGAAGGCGAGATATCCGTTTGCTGACTAAAGGACGAGTGTACTGCGCAGTAGTTCGCTTCGTCTTACTTTATGTCTGTGAAACATGGCCAGTGAGTGTGGAAGATATTCGTAGGTTACTGGTTTTCGATCATAAATGTCTTCGAAGCATTGCTCGTATATCGTGGGACACCCGAGTGAGCAACGCTGTTATTAGGAATCGGGTGCTAGGTAAGAATGGCAGATCAATCGATGAAGTACTGAAACCTCATCAGTTGAGGTGGTTGGGACATGTGTTGCTTATGCCCAACCACCGACTGCCTCGTCGAGCTTTGTTTCGTAGTGCAGGAATGGGTTGGAAGACAGTTAGGGGCGGCCAAACCAAAACATGACAGCAATCCATGAAGTCATTGACTAGTGGACTTAGCCATGTTGGTAATTGTCGACTACCTGGTTGGGGTCCGCGAGATGATAATAATCGATGGTTAGAGACTCTGAATGACATGGCTCAAAACCGTTCGCAATGGCGCCGGTGCATTTATTCTTTGTGTTCTCTCAAACCCTAATCTTCTGGATTCTTCGACCCCTCTACTTTTGACTTTCTAAACTTTTCTCATTTAATCATACTTCTTGAATAATATCTTCTTATCCTAACCTCTCCGATTACTTCTAATACCCTTACTACCTCTACTACTATTGGATTTGAATTGACAATTACATCTCTGTGCTGATGTGGTATGGCGACATGAACTGATGTACTTACGTACGAAGTTCTACGTTGCATCTGACTGACTGACTATCCAGATCAACGTTCTGATATTTTATTGTTTTTAGCTATTGTTTGTTTCATAATCAAGCAGCATTTCTTCGTAATTAACTGACAGGCCATTCAAAGTCGTCAGTATATTATATATACCTTTACCGTATTTTCATCGTATTAAAAATTCGAGTTTTACAATTTTATAGCAGTACATCATATGATATACGTTCTTCACTGTTATCATTATTGTCACATTATGTTAGATGTTCATGTCAATGAGAAAAAATAACCTTTGTTTCTTAGATACTCCAAATGAATCATGTACTGAAAAACTTGCGCTTGCATCTTCTGATAATGTAAGTTATAATATTCTTTTTTTTTGTTTCGTTTCATGATCAATATGTAAATATTTTATCGATTGACAAAGTTAAACTGATCGAATAATTGTAATAATGCGTTAATATTTTTTTTCTTCATGGAATCTTTCTTGGTCACAATTAAATTCTTCTTAATTTCATTCAAAAGTGTGATATTTGTCTTTTATGTGGAGTATCAGTCAGTCAGTCAGTTACAACGTAGAACTTCGAATGTATGTACATTAGTTCAAGTTGCCATACCACATTAGCACGGAGATGCAATTGTCAAATTCAAATCCAATAGCAGTAGAGGTAGTAAAGGTATTAACAGTAATTGGAGAGATTAGGGTTCGAAGATATTAGTCAAGGAGTATAATTTAGTGAGGTAAATTTAGAAAGAAAAAGATAGAGATGATGAGAAATTCATAAGGTTAGAATTAGAGAGAACGCAAAGAGAGGATGCACCTGCACCATTGCAAACGGTTTTGAGCCATATCATTCAAAGTCTCTAACCGTCGGTTACTCTCATCTAGCAGTACCCAACCATGTAGTCGACGCCTACCGACATGGCTCAGTCCATTTGTCAGTGACTTTATGGATTTGTGCCATGTTTTAGCTTAGCCGACCCTAACTTTCTTCCAACCTATTCCTAAAACGCAAAACATAGCTCGTCAAGGCAGTCAGTGGTTGGGCATTCGTAACACATGTCCCGACCACCTCAACCGATGAAGTTTCATTACTTCATCTATTGATCTGCCATTCTTACCTAGCACCCGATTCCTAATAACAGCGTTGCTCACTCGGGTGTCCCACGATATACGAGCAATGCTTCGAAGACACCTATGATCGAAAACCAGTAATCTACGAATATCTTCTCCTCTCACTGGCCATGTTTCACAGCCATAAAGTAGGACGGAGCTAACTACTGCGCAGTATATTCTTCCTTTGATTAGCAAACGGATATCTTGCCTATGCCATAAGTGACGCAGGTTGGCAAAAGCCAATCGAGCCTTCTGTATCCGCGCTGTGATGACCCTGTTTTAGCCGTCAGATTGACTTAGATCTTAGGTAGTGGTGTCATAAAGTTTTGATTAAAAGAAACTATTCAATCCATCTTTAGGCTATCAAACTTTAAAAAACAATTACACTTGTCATTTGTAATTGGGAAGATTTAAGTTGTTTATTTAACTCCCAAAAAATCGATCGTTTTACACCATTCAGAGTTCAAACAACATTCTTTCTAATATATCTTGTATTTTGAAGCTGTTTCACATTGATTAAGATTTCAATAAACACACAGTATTTTCTAATAGTGTTCTTTTTCTCACTTTTGATTAATACTTATCGATTAGTAATCGAAAATCATTTCATATCGATTGCTGAATTTTTTTTCTCCTGTTCAAAAGATACATTCTCAATGTAATAGATTAATTTTAGATCAAATTTTAGTGAATACAAAATTGTAAAATCATTTGACCTTATCCTACTACTTGTGTAGTGAACGAGAACACAGGTGAGGGCAACCGAATTGTATTTAACGAAAATTAGAGAGTTACTCAGTAAAATCGGAAAACTATATCGTAAACGGTTAATTTGCAAATCTTCAATCCATCATCAATCCATTGTCTGACATTTCACCACTATTCATGCGTTTCATACAAATTCCATTGTATTGCCACTCTTCCTTTCTTGATCTTCCCCCATCTTCTGCTGCCAGACATTCACTCACGTCATATACTACTTATAAGTAGCTCGCACCACACTTGTAGTTTCTTATATTGAAATTCTACTCTTCTCTTTTAGTCTTGTTCAAATGAATTCAATAATCATGTGTTTCAATCATTCTCATCATCCTCTACTACTATGGCTACGGCTATGGCTATTACTAGCACACCAACTCCAAACGATCATCTATCCATATCATATACCCTAAAAAATAATGATACTATTCATTCATCCTGTAATCAAACAATTACATGCACAGAAAATGTGAACATATCTAATTCATCATCTTATACATCAAGTTTGGTCAATCTAAATTCAAATGTCAACAATACTCAATCATCTAAGACTAATCATCCACTGTTTTCGAATATATCAATTAATTCACCTCGACAAAATTTGCCTACAATCAAAACTAAATTATTTACTACACCAATAACTACTGATGAATTATTATCTAGTACAGCTTCTTATTGTAATGATAATCATCAACTTAATAATGATCTCTTACCATCGTATTCAGTTTATTTACCTTTAAATGTGTCAAATACTATCAATAACACAGAAGAAACAGTTAAACTAGTAAATAAAGAGAAAAATCATTTGAATACAATGAATTGTATTCCAATGATGAATAATGTCCATGACTGGTCAAATATTGATCAAAATCAATCATTGAAATCATCACCAAGTGATGATGATAGTTCATTATCTTATGGGAATTCAAATGCTTTACATCAGTGAGTTTGATTATTTTTTGTTGAATATTTACGAAGGCACGTGTGTGTGTGTATGTGATTTTTAATCGAAACACTTAGTCAGTCAGTCAGTCAGTTATCATTGATACATATATGTGTATTTGTTAGCCGAAGTTCTCGCTTTGAGGTTGAGGCGACGACAAAAAAATTAACAAGATGTTTAGTTGAAGCAAATCGAAATAATGTGACAGCGATAATAATGGTAAAAAAGACTAGAAATTAAAATTGAAAAGTTTCGAGAAGACAGTAGAAGGATAAAGAATGAATGCATCTCAGTCAGTCAGTCAGCGCTACAAACTAGAACTTTGTACGTACGTACGTACATTTAGTTCAGGTTGCCATACTACGTTAATTGTAACCAATTTGGTCTTGTGCACGGTTACAGGTATAAGGGCGGATGTCACTTCCCTCGGCTGCCCACACCGTGGAACAGTGAGTGTATCTACTTCGGTGTGATCGATTTTTAAGCTGTATCTACCAACATGTTTTAGACCAACAGTTAATCATATTATTACTAAATGTTTGTTTACCTTATGAACCGAATCTACAAAGTGATTCCAATAGCTTTATGTCTGAAATTTGATTGAGCTTATTTGATTGAAGTGTTGAGGAAAATCAGTTACAAGTCAGTCAATCAGTTACAACGTAGAACTTCGTACATGAATACATAAGTTCAGGTTGTCATACCTCATCAGTTCAAATCTAATGGTGGTAGCGATAGTAGAAGTATTAGCAGTAATGGAGAAGATTAGGGTTCGAAGATATGATTCGAGAAGTATAATTCAGTGAGATAACTTTCGAAAGAGAAAGATAGAGATTATGAGGAATGCAGAAGGTTAGAATATGAGAGAACACAGAGAATGGATGCACCTGTGCCATTGCAAACGATTCTGAGCCGTGTCATTCGAGGTGTCTAACCATTGGTTACTTTCGTCTCGCGGACCCCAACTAGGTAGTCTACATCTACTAAAATGACTCAGTTCAGTTGTCAGTGACTTCATGGAGCTGCTTCGAAGCTGCTTCCCGACCGAAGCTGCTACCTTGACGTGGTGGTCGGGCTTGCCTATCGTGATGACCCAACCGAGCTATACTGGCTGGAACATATGTTCCTGCAGGTCCTACCATGCCAGGCTGGTCGATTGGAGAACGATGAGACTAAAAGCAGCTACCCAAGGTCTGAGGGCGAAGTCGTACTGCTGACTGCAGAGGGATGTGACAGCAGTAAGGTGTTTCCCTCGGACAACCAGCATCTGCAGAGATGCTGCCTTCTCACAAGGAAGGAAGGGTTAGAAAAGGTCGGCCCTAAAAATGTCACACTCCCCCTAACTCACGGATTTCCGTCTCCTTGGGTAAGGGTGCCCACTAAGGGCCTTTAAGAACGGAGCTAATCCTCAAAAAATGTTTCATAAAAAGGCCGTGCGTGACCGGCCTCAAGCAGTTGTCCCTTGGGCTCTGCGGTCACGCACCAACACTAATCCATCTTCCTTTTCAGGTTCCTCAAGAAACAACCTTCCACGGTGTGGGCAGCCGGGAAGTGACAACCGCCCTCATACCCGTACCAGCACGCGAGACCAAATTGGTCAAAATCAAATCCTTCCTACACCCCCTCATT